TTGTCTGCGGTATGCGCCGTAGCCAATCCACAATGGCAAAACTTTTAAAGTTATGACCCCGAACAATAACGTTGGAGCGGAATCGGGAACACGAAGACTGTTGGTTTAATGCCAGGAGATATTTCATCTTGTCTTCGTACACTACCAGTCGTCTACCAAGGATCTCTTTGAAAGATTTGTTGCATGGTGAATATCTGGTTAGAGGTGAAATAACCAGGTATTAAGCCACACTGACAAGGTCAGCTTGTCAGCTATACACCGCCAGGTTGAAAGAAAGGCGTTTGAAAGTGTAAAATTAAGATTTGCGCCGAAAATCATCGAAATCGAAAGACTTTGCCTCGAAGTCTCGAACCAATCTTTTTTTAAGTGAAAATGCTTATTTAATTTTAAAACGCAATGCAATAAATTAAAAATGGTCGTGAAGGAATAAAGGCTTCGGCATTTCTTGTTTTTTATTACCGTTGCCCGTCAGACAGTCTGTGTCAACCATGTGAATGTCAAGGCTGCTCGTAAAAATCCATAAGCTGCTTGGAGGCAGGTCGGAAAATAACTGTAGGTCCATTCATTTTAGAAAAAAAGCATCAATATGAGCTTTAGTAAGGCGAAAACATTGTCCGATGCGATCGGTCGCTAGCCGCGAAGCTAGTGGCTCGCCATATAATGGGGGTTTGCACTGGGTTTGATATACACTACATATGAACGACCTGTAGTGAAAAACAACACAATAATTTATTTGCAAAGATACGTCACTTTTTATGTGGACTTCAGCAAACTGGATTGGAATATGACGTAGTCGCCGTCGAAGTATCGCCATAGACTAGACAAGAACGGAAGCAAGTAGGTCTTTGAGATATATATAATATTTGTTATATTCGTGATCGTTGAGAGACTTCACTGCCGACACTACAATATCAAAATCGTGCTTGGCTTAGTTTTAACGCCGTGGTGGGCAACGAAGGTTGCAGTTCGGGCTTGGACTACTAACTTGTAGTAGCAAAAATACGCGACCGCCCATGTACAGCAAGGGAAGCTTGTCAATAAACACAAGTAAAGTTTTAAGTCGAAAAGCTACAATCCCAGCAAATAGCCGAACGATTTTCTGCTCGATTTGAAATTCTGCTCTCTGAAAGCACTCACCATCGACACAGTTTGTGGGTATTATTTTTCATCAATTCTTTGATTTCATGCGTGCTAACTACAGGAAGAGATACATATATTTCCAACGATAAATGTACGTTAAACTGCCAATAAATCGCAAGTTTATAATCGATCACCCTTTTTCATCTTCATCAAAAAATCTATTATTAGCATCACCAAATGTAGGTCAAACAAACGAATTCACCTAAATTTCGTTGCAATAAAAAAACTTCTATTTTTATATACATACATATCTATATTGAGCTGCGTAAAATTGAATATTTATGAGAAATCAAATTTTATATGTATGTATATACAAGTATTTTAATACAAAAAGCCTGCTCTTATATATTTATTGGTTGCTGAGCTATTTTTATGGAAAACCGCAAAGAAAAAGCCATAAATGCGAGCAACGAAAATATTTGTTTTTGAATTTTTTAATAAATGTTTTTTTTTTTTTCGCTGTGTTTTATTTATGTGCTCTGAGGGCCATTGAACTCATAAAATATGTTTTGTTAAGCAGAACTCATCTGTATAAATGTCATCTTGTGATAATAACTATGAACATAATTTTCAACATTGTTATCGAATGTGATATATGCAAATCAAAATCAATTTTAAACGCTTGTCATAATACATAAAATATTTTTTTTTTTTTTGTTTGCATAGCAATTTTTTGTCATACATATTTATATTTCATACATAAATTAGTGCAAAAACATATGTTTGTTTGTGTTTGATCGCAGACGATGCATAAATATTTAACTACTTCCGTTTTATTTGATTTAATTTAATCTTTTTTCCAAATCTTTATCTTGAAATTTTTTCAAAAAATTTGAAAAATTTTATCTTGCTTCAAATTATTTTTCTTAAGCTACTATTTGTGCTAATAGAGATGTGCTGATTGCCATCTGATCGTTAGTTAAATATATCCCCTGTGGTTGGGCTTAGAGTTTGGGACACGCCGCAGGGAAAATTTTCTGCAATATAAAATCAACCACAGCCCCGGATGAGAGACTCTTCTTTTGATGACTATCACCGCATACATTTAAGAATCACAATTTGAAAGCATGCACCTGGAATGTCTCGTCCCTTAAATGAAAAGCATGCTGCTGCCTCCTCGAAAGAATAGGGGCTGCCAAGTGCGAAAGACGGGAAAAGAACGGAAGCGAGTAGATTCTCGTTCATATAGAGCAGCGCCAATTTCATGTCGGATATGTGGTGTTGAAGAGACCCCGTCGTCGAGAACTGGCATTCACGCCGGTTGATGAACGTCTCACCACAATCCACATCAAAGTGAAGTTTTCTAACAAATCGCTGATTTGCGTCCATGCCCGACGAAGGCGAAAGCTGATTTGGCTAGGACGCTTTCTATGAGCGCCTAGCACGGCCATATTAGCACTGCCCTCGTCACGATGTGAATGAAAATCTTGCTTAAGGTCTGTAATGCCAGGATAGGCAAAGAAGCTATTTTTAGCACAACAGTCGTGAAATTCGGCCTCCACAGCAAAACATCCCTACACTTTCTGAGCTTGAGTGAATTCGCTGGAGCCCGATATATGGTTGTCTGTAGTAGCAGATTTTCGAACAAGAAAGTCCATAAAACTACAGCGACCGCCGGATCGAAAATCGCGCAATCAAATCGATCATTCTCCATTGTTCCAAATTCCCAGTATTCTAGATGCGCGTACATTCCGAGGTTTTAACGAAAGTCGAATCACATTTTCGTCCTAACTAAGATACGCTGTCGTCTATGTGTGTCAAAGAACGTCAGTCAGCAACCACAAGGAAGGGTCGATGTCGAAAAACTGCAAACCTACAGTGATGATACTACCTACCGCGCATCCTTGCTATCGATCAAAACACGTGCGGGGTGGGGTAGCTACCGGAAGCTGAAGAAGCGATTGTCCGCTTTTCTTATCGGCTGAGCTATGGCGGTGAAGAGCTGATAAGGAGAATACATCAGCTTCTTTGCAGAATTTGTTCAAACGAATGGAACTAAAGTGTGCTCTGCCCAATCCATAAAAATATGGACTTCACGGTCTGGGCAAATTATCATGGGCTAAGCCTCCTCACTCGTCAGGTGCTACTTTGGACTGAGTAGGCAATTGAAGAGTAAAGTCCTCTCCCGACGATCAAAAACCAAACTCGACAAGTTCCTCATCGTTCCCGTTCTGCTACATGGTGCAGAAGCATGGACGATGACAACTTCTGATGAGTCGGCGTTAGAAGTTTTCGAGAGAAAAGCTTTCCGTAAGATGTATGGTCCTTTGCGCATTGACAACGGCGAATACCACAACGATGGAACGATGAGCTGTATGAATTATACACCGACATTCACATAGTTCAGCGAATTAAGAAACAGCTGCTACGCAGGCAGGATCATGTGGTACAGATGGATATGAATACTTCAGTTTTGAAAGCTTTCGATGCAATACCCGCCGCTGGAAGCAGAGGAAGACTAAGACCTATATCCCGGGGAAAAACTAGGTGAAGAAGGAACAGGCTGTACTTGGTATATCCAAACGAATGGCACATTGTTGTTAACCTGACTAAAATCGCATAAGCGGTGTCTACGCCAGTAAAGTAAGTAGGAAGGCCTCCTCAATTTTCCATTTAAGGTTCTAACGAGCGTGTAAAGGACTAAAGCCCACATACAACAAACTATTTGAACCTTATCAGTGTGGCTTTAGGCCTGGTAATGACCAGATATTCACCATGCCCTGAAAGGAGGATCGCTCTAGCCAGCGGTTGCTGTGTTGGACTAAGTAGACAATTGATAAGTTTTCTTTACCAAAACTAAACTCTACAAGACCGTCGTCATTCGTGCACTGCTGTTTGTTGCGAAAGCATGGACAATGAAAACATTTGATGAGTAGGCGCTGCGAACATTCGAGAGATAGCGGTCATGTGGCCCAAATGGCTGAGAATACTCCAGATTGTTGTTTTAATGGCGGGGGAAGCAATGGAAGTGCAAGTAGAAGACTAGGGCTTGGCTGCATTTGGGAGTTTTCGTTGTGAAATAATACCTTGAAGCTTGAGAAGTTTCTCGGAAAAAAAAGTTTCTTAAAACAAAATGTGCGTGTCTTTCAAGTTGCTTGAGACGCGTCGCTTAAAAAAATCGTCCACACTTCCCAACCGACGAATGTCTAGTGAGCAAGCAGCCGGACTTTCGATACATTTATATATGAAGTTTACAAATGAAAAACAATCCAAACTTATGCAAAAGTGCGGATGTCTAATTTTGTCTAATAATAGTGATCAGGAATGGAATTTGCATTTGCATATGTATGTAAATAAATACAGTTTTGTTGTACTTTTTTCGGTTTCTTATTAAGTTTTCAGCAAATCCGCCCACAATTGGCGCATAAATTTGCACATAATTTTGCAATGCAAAACTCAACTCAACACTTTGTGAGCAGAGGCTTCGATTACACAATGCAGCAGCAGCAGCAGCAGTAGCAGCAGCGATGACGAACGCAATGAAATTTCCAAAAACCGTCAACTAAACTGAGTCAGACCTTAAACGTCCAACTGACTGAATGCCAAATTTGAATAGTTTCACTCACTGGAATCCTCAAAACTCACGGCGTTATTAGCAGTGAAAATTAAAAAAAAAATTATTTTGGACACGCTGCGATCTTTAGACGACCATTAGTTAGTGTGTATATATGTATAATTGTATAATTAAATAAATATGTACACTCGTACATATTTTTAGCGTGACAAGAAACTTCAGTTTATTTTCTATTACGATTTTTGAAGAGAATTTCGAACTTTTCGTCATATCAATTATGATTGCTCTTATATGTGTGTACATATGTACTTCTGCTTATTTGGAGCATCCGAATTGATTGTATTTTGCACATTCTTCTTGGCATGGCAATTTTTTTTCGTATATATTAAACCAATGCTCCGATGAGACAAACAGTAAGCAACCGAACTGCAAACTTGAACAAACTCTATTCTTAAATTAAAAAATGCGTGCATTCCTGGTAAGACCGTGAAGGATAACGAAGTGATCAACAATTGTTACTCACCATAACCTTTTTCAAATTACAGATTCTGTGCTCCGTCGTCTCTGCGACTTACGCAGCCAGCCTTGGCTACAACTACGGGCCAGCGCTCGGTAGTCTCCTTGGCGGTCCAAGCTATGGCGGGCAAGCACCTGGCGGCCCAAGCTACGGTGGTCCCAGTTATGGTGGTCCTGCGCTCGCTGGCCCAAGCTATGGTGGTCAAGCTTTGGCTGGTCCCAGCTACGGTGGTCCCAGCTATGGTGCTCCAGTTGCTGCCGGTCCAAGCTACAGCGCACCTGCTGCTCCTGAATTCAACAAGGAATTCTTCACCTACACTGCACCCGAACATGAATTCAACGACGCAGGCGATGCTGGTCAACTCGCCAACTCATTGAAGAAGAACTTGCGTGTGATCTTCATTAAGGGACCTGAAAACTCTGGCCTTGAGAACGCCGCCCTTCAATTGGCCAAATCTGCTGGTAATGAACGTACTGCCATTTATGTGCTCAACAAGCAAGCTGACATTGGTGACTTGGCCAACAAATTGAACTCACTCAACCACCAGAGCGCACACAAACCCGAGGTACACTTCGTCAAGTACCGCACTCCAGCTGATGCTGAGAACGCCAAGCAGGCTATCCAGTCGCAATACGATGGTTTGGGCGGTAACACAAGCAGCTACAATGGTGGTGTTGCTCCAGTGTTGAACTTCGCTTCACAGGCACCCGCAGCACCCGCTGCCGTCCAACAATATGGCGGCGCTCCAGTTGGCGGTGTTGAGAACACCTATTTGCCACCAAACAAGGTGTAATTGACTTGTGAGCTGTGCTGAGGAGTTGTTAATTGTTAATTAGTTGTAGAAGTACCTTCATGAATGCATGCGTAATTTCGTTCATTTATGTTTTTTAAAAAATATACCAAAAAGAAAACTACATGACAAAATATATTTATTTGGTTTAGCCGAGTGAGAGGTGGTTTGTACTACTAAATTTAGGGCCATAGCTTTGATGCCAAGCCTTCCGCACATTTAAAATGGCAAGAAACGAGATTTGGTGGTATGGAAGTGGCACGAGGTATCTTCTGTAATAACATTTTAGCACAGAATTCCATCTGGTGCTACTTAATGGATGCGATATACTCGTACGACGACAATGTCATTAGTTTATTGAGTGAAAACCCATTATAATACTGCGGAACTCCACTAAAGAGAGAGTTATGCCAGTTACATTGATAGGGAAACGGTGTCAAAGCATTAAATTCCTTAATCTTTTGGCGGCCAACATAGGCCTGATTTGTCTTGCCTTCTTGTTGTCTCTTAATTCACTAACCCATGCCATTGGCGTCGTTTATTTCGCACAACTCATCGTTCCATCGTCTGCGGTATTCACTGTGGCCGATTTATAGGGATCTATAAATCGTTCGCAACGCATTTCACTTGAAAAATCCAAGCGTAGACTCTTCAGACATCAGCAGGGCGGTGGACTATTGGTTTACTTCTCAATTGCCCACTCATTCCAAAGCTGCACCTCTTGCCCAGAGTTAATCTAATGTTGGTTCCTAATTGGGAAAATATATCTGCAAACTACAAGGTTATGAGAGTCAACAGTAACAAGGAAGACAAATTTTGATGCGGTAATTGTTTTTTGACGACTTCCATTTCTGTTTGGTGAAAGCATAGTCAATAGCACTTGAATACCGAATCGATACGACTCGACGTACGCCTGTAGTTGTATGCCCTTATATAAGGTTGTGCCATCTCTGTCTAGCTCCAGCATTGAGTTAAAGAAATCACGCGGTAAAGAGTCGTATTGCTTGGTATCGGACGGCTAGGGATATTTCTCCGTTCTGGCGGTGCCATAAACGGTATAAGTTTTGCGGGGATGCCCAATTCAGAAATAGAGACGTAAAGACAGCTCTTTCTTTGCTATCAGCTGCAGCTTTAAAACCGAAAAGTGGAGGTGAGTCTTCATTATTTTCTCCTAAGCTCTTTACAAGGTTTCGCACATAGGACTTTACCAGGTTCAATCAATTTGTTGACGGTGGGATTTAGTCTTTCGCACTTTACGCTTAATAGCACCCTATATGCGATACGTGGAGCACATTTAGATTTGCTTCGCCCCATAAAAGCAATATATTCTAGGAAATAGTAACGAAAGCGTATCCTTGGATCTTACATGAGGTTCAAATGCGTCTGTTATATACAACGGCAAGAAAAGCTCGTCATAAAAAACGAATCAACCGTACGAAGGCGATATAGTATAAACTGTAGGTCCCTCGAATTTCTTGGAACAACATCAAGACGACAACCACCAATTAGAGAAGGAGCTCGGCCGAAAACGGTTCCAGCAGTTACAAAACGCCAATTATATTTAAATATAAGATATGGGAAAACTGTTCCAGGGACAAAAATTATGCGTCAGAAACCACTGGGCAGAAAACATAATTTTATGAAATTTCATATATTGGGTTGTCCAAAAAATAATTGCGGATTTTTCATATAGTCGGCGTTGACGAATTTTTTCAACGGCTTGTGACTCCGTAATTGCGAGATGTGTATGGTGAAGAAGCCCTAAAAGGAAGACAGTGTCAAAATTGGTTTCGCAAATTCCGTTCTGGAGATTTTTCATTTAAAGATGAGCCACGTTCAGGTCGGCCAAATGAAGTTGATGATGACCAAATCAAGGCATTAATCGAATTGGATCGTCATGTAACTGAGCGTGAGATAGGAGAGAAGTTAAATATACCAAAATCAACCATTCATTATCACCTAAAAAGTCTTGGACTGGTGAAAAAGCTTGATATTTGGGTACCACATATATTGAAAGAAATTCATTTAACACACCTAATCAACGCTTGTGATATGCACCTTAAACGCAATGAGTTCGATCCATTTTTAAAACGAATCATAACTGGAGATGAAAAATGGATTGTTTACAACAACGTTAGTCGAAAACGATCATGGTCCAAGCATGGTGAACCAGCTCAAACCACTTCAAAGGCTGATATCCACCAAAAGAAGGTTATGCTGTCTGTTTGGTGGGATTGGAAGGGTGTCGTATATTTTGAGCTGCTTCCACGGAACCAAACGGTTAATTCGGATGTTTACTGTCAGCAATTGGACAAATTGAATACAGCCATCAAGGAGAAGCGACCAGAATTGGTCAATCGTAAAGGTGTCATATTCCACCAGGACAACGCTAGACCGCACACATCTTTGTTCACTCGCCAAAAACTGAGTGAGCTTGGCTGGGAACTTTTGATGCATCCACCATATAGCCCTGACCTTTCACCATCAGACTACCATTTATTTCGATCTTTGCAGAACTCCTTAAATGGTAAAACTTTCGGCAATTATGAGGCTATAAAATCGCACTTGGTTCAGTTTTTTGCAGATAAAGGCCAGAAGTGCTATGAGCGTGGAATACTAAATTTGCCCGGAAGATGGCAAAAGGTTATCGAACAAAATGGCAAATATATATTTGATTAAAGTTCATTCTAAGTTTTATTTTTGGCAACCCAATATATTTTTACTGAGTAATTAAGGCATAAATTTGATAGATTCAGCCAAGCTTGGTAGCTATGCCGCTTATAATTGGGACGGATAAGTCCTAACAAGGCTGACATAGATCCAGAAATAGACCTCTACCATCTGTGTAATGAATCTGAATCTGTGTAATGAATATTCGATTCTAGCCAAATTTAGTAAAACATTGTGGTAACCAATTTTCTAGGATTTTATCATGACAGCTATGATTGTTGTTTCTCCTCTCCTGATTTTTTATTTTAATAATAGCACATTTTTCATTGAAGTGGAATGTGGAAACCTCGATGGGTGAGTAAGTTTAAATTTACCACGTATTTATCGAGCTAACCGCTTGCTTGGAGACTGACGGGCACTTACAGCTGTGCGATACAGACGCTGCAAGTAGACATCAGAGAATCTAAATTGCCAGAAGCTTGGATACGCCTTATTACACCCTGAGTCGGCCAAAAATGTCAGTGTTGTCAGTGTCATAACTTTGGAGAAAACATCATCTATCTTGGAACCAGAATCGACACCAACCACAATCTCACCTTTGAATGACGACTTTTCAAGCAAGATTTTCTTCAGCAAGGAGGTACACTTCTCACTCGGGGGATACATTTATAAGCTTCACAAATCCACAAATAATTGAACAGAGGGCAGTACACCCAAAACAAAACTTATTGTCTGCTGCGTTCTTTCTACAGGTGGTGTGGCCGTACCTTCCTTCTTTGAAAGCGACAAGGGAGAGACTTTAACTTCCAATTCCGATCGTAATGGTCGCCAGTTGATCTCCTCTTTTTATCCTGCAATTGAAGATCATGACATGGACCGTATGTGGTTTCAACAAGATGATGTCACATGTCACGCAACATGGAAGAATATGGCTGTTTTGCGTTAAAATTTCCTGGTCGCGTAATCTTTCGTCTTGGCGATGTAAATGGCCTTTCGAGAGCGGTTTGATATCGTTGGACTTTCTGTGTGGGGCTATGCGAAAGACCGTGCTTTATGCGGACATACCCTAAACTCTTGAGTACTTGAAAACCACTATTCGTCTAGTTATCGCTGAGATACCGCCCAACATGTGCCAAACTTACATGAAATGGTTCGAAGTTCGCAAAAAAATTCGCGGGGCGATCATTTGAATAATAATTTGACATTGGCGACATCAGGAGGTTTCCTGTCGCAGTCCTGAGGGCGGTGTTATGGCAAGCTTGTAGCTTCTTCATCTGCGTCACGTTCATCCCCGGCACCCAGATCGGTGCAGCATAGCTTACGATTGGCCGGCCAATAGATTTATAAGTTGCCAGGTGCTCCCGGCTAGCGCTTTGAGTATTTTGTTGTGTCTCTGGAGTTTTGCGGCAATTGCGGTCGTATGCTGAGTGAAGGATTACAGGCTGTCTAGTGTTACTCCCAATATCTTTGTGTTATTTACAGTCGGAATTTTAGTATCATCGACCTTCACATCTAGTTCAAGCCTGTACTCCTTCGTCCAGCTGCCGAGGATTTAGTCGGTTGTATTTTTATTTGTCGTGCAGTGAAGAAGCGAGAAAGATCGGCAAGGTAGCAGTTCAGTTTCGAACAGAGGTTGTCGATATTCTGGCCAGAAGCCAGAATCATCGTGCAATAATCGGCACATGAGATTAGGGAAACCCCTCCTACCGGAGTTGACCCGGATTTTATCTAGCCCCGTTTAGGTCAACAGGTACCATTAGGAGACTTTCCTTTGTAATTGCCGGCAGGTGTGCGTAATTATATTATTTAAAATTTATATACAAAAATAGACTAAATTTGCATGTCTAAAAATAATCACCTGCACCGCTCCAAATATGTACTCTCTCTCTCGTTCACTCCCAAAAGGCAATGCGATGAAAGCAGCCCGCGTATTTGGTGTCTCATTTTAAATATTACATTACACATGTTTATTAAGTGTGTATGTATGTACAATAGTTATATTTTACATATGAAACAAGGCAAAATTAATTTCACAAATAAATATCAATATAATTTTATTAGATAACATTTATTTTATTATGCACATATATACATATAGATACATACATATATATGTATATTAAGCATAAAATAAACAGAGTCTCCCTATTTTTTGTTTCACATTTTGTGTAAATTATAATATTCAGTCTTCATTTGCTTGGCAAATTTTTTTTTTCTTTCTTTCTTTTATGTCAGCAAGCGCAGCGCTGACAAAGGCGATGATCGGTCCCATTGTGCAGTGAGACACAAACCAAACGAAGTCAAAGGCAGCCAAGCCAGCGACTGTCTAATGTCAAATTTGAATTTTTTTGCACTTTTTTGTGCGCAGAAATGAAGTGACTAAAATAGTTGAATATATTTTTAAAATATTTATACATTTAAATATGCATATATTTGTCGGTTTTATAGCCGCAGCGGCAACCTTGCTTAGATATGTGCGTATTTCAGTGCGAATTTCGCATTTCGATTGTCATATTTTTCAAAATATTTCAAAACTTTGTTTCATTTTTTTTTAGCTTTCATTGTAGCTTCGTTAAAACATTTATTTAAATTAGAAATTTTATTGCAAAAATTTTATCAAAGTTTGCAAAAAATTCGCATTTTTGCACGTTAGTATAATTTGTATAAATATAACGGCAATTTGATACAGCGAACAGTAAGCAGCTGCATTGCAAACTAAAGCCATCACTAAACCACAACATGCGTGCTTTTATCGTAAGTCCTTTTTGGTTTTAAAACTTTCAGCATCAAACGATTTTGTCACTCAATAGATTTTTTCTTCAAAATTACAGATTTTGTGCTCCGTCGTTTCCGCTGCCTATGCGGCCAGTTTGGGTTACAACTATGAGAGCAACGGACCAGCACTCGGTGCAGGTTTGGGCGGTGGTCAAATTGGTGGCCCCAGCTATGGTGGTCAGGGACTCGCCGGTCAAAGCTACGGTGGTCAGGGACTCGCCGGTCCAAGCTACGGTGGTCAGGGACTCGCTGGTCCGAGCTACGGTGGTCAAGGACTGGCTGGTCCTAGTTATGGTGGTCAAGCTTTAGGCGGTCCTAGTTATGGTGGTCCAGCTGCCGCAGGCCCCAGCTACGGTGGTCCAGTTGCTGCCGGTCCAAGCTACAGTGCACCTGCTGCTCCTGAATTCAACAAGGAATTCTTCACATACACTGCACCCGAACATGAATTCAACGATGCTGGTGATGCTGGTCAACTCGGAAACTCATTGAAGAAGAACTTGCGTGTGATCTTCATTAAGGGACCTGAAAACTCTGGACTTGAGAACGCCGCCCTTCAATTGGCCAAATCTGCTGGTAATGAACGTACTGCTATCTATGTGCTCAACAAGCAAGCTGACATTGGTGATTTGGCTAACAAATTGCAATCGCTCAACCACCAAAGCGCTCCCAAACCCGAGGTACACTTCGTCAAGTACCGCACTCCAGCTGATGCTGAGAACGCCAAGCAAGCTATCCAGGCTCAATATGACGGTTTGGGCGGTAACACAAGCAGTCACAATGGCGGTGTTGCTCCTGTGTTGGACTTCGCCTCGAAACCAGTCGCCCCAGCTGCACCCGCTGCTCCACAGTACGGTGCCGGTCCAGTCGGCAGCGTTGAGAACACCTACTTGCCACCAAACAAGGTCTAAATGGGTGGACTTCCTGTTAAGTGAGTCACACGCTTCCTGTTACTCATTAGTTGTTGTTGAATATTAATAAGAATTCAATGTTCCTGATTAATTTCATATATTTAAGCTGTAGAAATGTATATTACATTGAAAGAAAAATTATAAAAAATTAACAAAAACAAAAAGAGTGTTTTAAGTATAATTCAAATTAACGTGTTTCCAGTGCAATTAATGTTCACTATAAAGGCTTTACATACTTTTAGGCTAATCATAAACAATCTTCTCAGTGGGAAAACGTTTCACGAGCAAGTGAATAAATTCACGGCTCGCAATAAAAGAAATAAATAAATAAACGGTCGCTTCAGTTGGATTTCATGGTAGCGTTCGAGGCACTAGGTGCTCCCAAGAATATCACTTATCCATTGTGCTTTTTGTGGTCAACCATTCGTGGTTAGCTGCCTGATGGATTCCTAGTGTTTCATATTAAATAAGTGAGCGAGCTGGGCACTCTAGTACACAGCTACGTTAATGGCTGTTAAAGGGCAGCGTACTCGTCCAAGGGCCAGTGTCTTGTTATATGCTCTAATATATACTCTTTTTAGACCTTTTTTTCCATTCGCAACACATACAAAGTTCAATAAATTGATAAGTCTATAGTGCGCTTGTTAACAACAGTCTATCTCCATTATCGTAAAATGCTTCAAGTTTCCAATTAGGTATCTATTGACTACTGTTATCCCTGCGCAGGATACTGATTTTATTCCATTCAATATTCTAATAATATACTCATTTGCCAATGCTGACTACTATAACTATAACATTAATAAGCCATGATTTTATCTATCTTTATCAGCGCCAAAATTTATGCGTGCTTTGTTAAGAAAGGTCATCACGGCCTTCTTCCGCGCGCTTCGAAGCTCATTTTCATCTGAATGGGTGCGTAAATCAGCAGAATTGTCGATAACGAATGGAGATCAGCCAGAAGCATTGCAAGAACTACCATGCATCCGGAAAAAGTCACAGTTTGGTGCGGTTTATGGGCTGGTGGCATCATTCGACCGTACTTCTTCAAAGATGATGTGAATCATAACGCAACTGTGAATGGTGAGCGCTACCGTGAGATGACTTTTTTTGTCGAAAGTGCAAGAGCTTGACTTGCATGACTTGTGGTTTCAACAAGACGGTGCCACATGCCACACAGCACGCGTAACAATGGACTTATTGAGAGGCGAGTTCGGTGAACATTTTATTTCACGTTCGAAACGGGTCAATTGGCTGCCTATGTCGTGGGGTTTAGCGCTTTAGACTAGTTTTGTGGTGCTATGTTAGATCTATTTTCTATACAGAAAAGCTCGCTTCAATTGAGGCATTGGAGGACAAACAAATTGAAGCATTTAGGGATAGGGATAGGGATAGGGATAGGGATA